CACAGCTTTCCCTCTTCCGGAGACAGGAGTCTGGGGCTTTGGTGCCGTGTTGGGCGGGCCGGTGCGAGGGGAGCCAGGAGGGTCCCTGGAAGGCCTTGTCATTTCAGCGGCAGGACATGAGTCCTGGTGTGTCAGTGGGACCTGTTGGTTGGGCTGAGAAGGACCAGCCCTTTCCCGGGATGCTCTGCGATTCTCAGATCACTGGCTTTTGTCTAGGGGTCGTAAATTGGCCACTGTCACGATTCAGAAGCAAGACCAGCCCTGCAGAGACTGAGCCCTTCTCCCTCCAGGGGGGAGAATGCCATGATGGCAAAGAACGTTGGCTTGGCCACAGCATGGGTTTTGAATTTGCAGAGAGTTGTTTTTGGAAAGCAGCTTGGCCAGGTGAGTGAATGCGGGCTCAGCGCAGAGGTGGAGGGATGTGGAGGGAAGACTGGCCGAGGAGCCAGGGCAAGAGGGGGCTTCTCTGAAGGGCTGCAGTCCTCCCAGAGCCTCGGGCAGGGCCAGCCCGGCTTCCCACCCTTGGAGTGGTCTTGGCCGGATTATCGTTGGTGATTCGGTGCTGATGACATGCAGAAGCACTTGCACGCTGTCATTTCGTGAAACCCTGTTCTACAGATGAGGAAAGCAGGCTCGGAGAGGTTGGGCTTCTTGCCCTATAGCACCCAGCTGTTGAGCGGCAGAGCCCTGCCTCACTCCAGCCCTTCAGCTCCCAACCAAGCTGTGCAGTCTGGATCCTCACTGAGTACCTTGGCTGCTGCTCTGCACCCACGGGAGGCTGCCTGTCAGCGCCGTCATAGGGTAGAAGCCTGAATCAGACTTAACCTGGCCTTGCGCACCCTGTGTCCAGGCAGTCATGACGCCTTCTTATGCCTGCCCCACCCCCACCCCCCGACTCCCTCCCCCGGACTCTGCTGCTCAATAGTGTGTCCAGGATCCGTCTCCTGCCAGCACATTCCTGCTCGGGTGCCCATAGGTGTTTATTGGATTATCCACTTTGTGGAGTTGGGAGACTGAGAGGATGCAGCCTCCTCGTGCTGGCATCCAGAGTCCGCGATTCCTGCCCACCTCTCGCCATGCTCTCCTGGTGCTGCACACTCTGGCTGAGGGGCCGCCACTGCCTGGATGCACACTGGGTGGGTGGGCCCCCTCCTTGCCCAGCAGTGCCACCCGTTTGAATGCCGTCTGCTCCTTTTGCCCTGCTTCTGGTCAGCAGACCCGTTCTTTAGGGTGAGTGGCAAATGCTCCACTTGTTGGCCTCTCTCCTGTGGCGTCTGTCACCGCCCTCTGAGGTTCTTGTCCTGGTGTCCAGGTCGGAAGTGGAGAGCCTCGCTCATTTCTGCCTCCCTCCAAGCCTGATGTGTGCTCGGTAAACACCACGAGGTGCATGGAGCTGGGGGCTTTCTGTCTTGGTGTTGGCAGGACTGCTGTGGACGTAATTGTGTTTTGCCTTGAGGCAGGGCAGGAGGCCTGGAGGCCATGGGTCCTGACAGTGCTGAGTTGCATTTTGGTGCTGCTGTCACTGCAGACCCGGAGATGCCATCTTGGATTCTCCCAGTTGGATGGGACAACACATGTTGCCCACTCAAGGCACAAAGGAGCAAGTGAGGAGCCAGCTGGGGGTCCAGGAAGGACCCCTTCACTGTGAGGCTGTCCTGGGATGTCCTCTTGGGGCCCTGCCAGAGGCTGATTCTTTTAGAGACCATCTTGTGGACCCTACCAGGCCAGCACACAGTGCCCAAGGTCACAAGCTACGTGCCGGGCTCCTCTCGGGGGAGACTGGCACTTCTCAGAGCCTGGTGGGGACTGGTTGATACACTGGCCTCCCCCAGACTCTGAGCACCTCCCCCCCAGTGTCTCCTCTATGTGGCAGAAGAGATGGGCTCACTCCTAGCACAGGACATACATCCACCCCCACCCCCCAGAGGGAATGGTGGGATGTCAGGGCGTGGCATTGTGTTCAGGGCTGATGGGGTGATAACATTGTTAAGGGCATGTGTTGGTCTTTTCTCCCCCAGTGTGTGTTTGGGGCTTGTGGAGGAGTGGGTCCAGAGTGTGCAGCTGCCCCTGGCTCCTTCCAGGGGCGCACCCTGCTCTTGGCTGCCTCAGGCTGCCTCTGGCCCTAGCAGAGCCTGAGAGCTCAGCACACAGGTAGCAGGAGCTGGGTAAGCGCCTTCTAGGCCTCCCATCTCCCCTCCATCCCCCCACCCCGGCCCAAGCTGTCTTATCTAACTCTGTTGCCTATGTGACAGGGACATTTTGTCTTGTCACCTCAAACTTTGTCCACCACTAAGAGGGCTTGTCCCAAAGCCTTGCTGGGGACCAAGGTTGCTGGTTTTGGAGAGAAGTGGGTTGAGGGGTTTATGACAGTGGAATCGGGAGGGTATTTCCTTGATTAAGAGCAGGACCAGGGCTAAGCTGGCTCAGAATAGATTGACCCAAACACTCCCATGTCAGGCCTGGTAGAGGAGGGTGCAGGCCCAGAGGCCAGGACCAGCCGGCCATGGAGACCAGGAGCTATGAAGTCGGCCGTCGACTGCAGCCCTAGGATGCATTTCGCATTCACTCATGTGTCTAACGCGTGAAGTCCTGGGAGGCCGCAGCGCTAGTGTGTGGGCGCTGAAGTTCACACCCAGGGCCCCATCACTTGCTAGTCCTCCTGCTGCTCACGGGCCTGTGGACCCTTTTAGGGCTCGACCCAAAGGAGCCGTGGGAGTTGACTCCTCGATGTGTGGATCCCCGCCTGGCCAAGGTGGGTGGCAGCTGCTCTGGCCACAAGAGAGGACACTCACACCCTGAGAGTGATAGGAGCTGGAGCCACTGATCCAAGGGACCAGGGCGAATCCACTGCCTCCCCTTCCTGCCACCGGCTTCCAGGCCAGGCTCATTTCCCTAGCAACGGAACTGGAGATTCGGAGTGGAAATGATGACTCCCTGGGGTGGGAGGGGCTTTGTGGCCGGGTCCCTGCACCAAAGCTGCGGTTCCTGCTCGCCAGCCATCGGTCCCCAGGGCTGTCCTCTTTATCCCTTTCCCTGTATCTCTCTTTATTTGTGCGCTGCCAGCTGTTCTGCTTGGTTCTTCTCCAGAGGCTAAGTGTGGGGTTCTGGAGTAAAAGGGCTGAGGGGTCCTTCCGTGAGGCTGGAGGGGCCCAGGGGGCAGATGAGAGAGGTTTCTCGGCCTGCGTCATCGGCCATTAGGACACGCCACTGTGCACAATTACACAGAGGCCTGGTAAAGCAGGTATAAATTAACAAAGAGAAAGCCAAGGGCCTAACTGCCCAGGAATGCCAAGTGCTGGCCCCTCAGCAGAGCGGAATCCACACCTCCAGCCAGGCTTCTGCTGCCTCCTTCCACCGCACTTTGCATGAGGCCCAGAGAAACTGTCCAGGGGCCGAGCGCTGACCCCTGCCAGGCGCAGCTTTCCTGAATTCTCTCATTTGATCCTCTCAACAGCCTCTCTTTGGGACAGGGATTATCATTATCCCCATTTGCCAGATGAACAAATGAAGCGGAGGTTCCAAGAGGTGGAATGACTTTCCCCGAAGGCCACCCCCTTGGGACAATGGTGCCACACTGCCCAAACCCTACCCTCTGCCTCTGTGCTGTTGATGAGATGTGGCCATCCCTTGTTGTCCACTGTGAGGGCTTTGGCCTGAGGTGGGGCGAGAGGGGTTGTGGGGCTGCAGCTGCTGGGGGCAACCCAGGGTGCCCTCTGTGGACTCTGGAACCCTTCCCTGCATGGCCTGGTTCCGTCTTCTCTGTCCAGCTCCTCTGGCTCCGGCGAGAAGTGGGTTGAGGGGTTTATGACAGGAGCTGGGGGGCATTTCCCTGAGCCACCCTCCCCATGTAACTGCTATTTATTGGGCATTTAGGCCGGGCTGTGTAAAATACTTCCCACACTTGACCTGTTCTTGTCCCCAGTTGACAGGTGATAAGCCTAGGGCTTTGAGAACTCTCGTAACCTGCCCGTGGTCAGAGGAAGCGGTGGAGGGGCAAGGCCAGGAGGCCGCTGCCATGTCAGGATCAGGGGCTCTGCTTCCCAGGGGCCAGCCTTCCTTCCAGGCCCCTGACAAGCCTGTGGACAGGATAGTGACAGAGCTGGCTCTTTTCGTTGCAAGTCTTATGTCATTGGATCCTTGTAACGTGCGGATGCCACGGGTGCTGTGATGGCGCGCACTTTGCAGATGCAGCCGAGGCTGGGAAGGGAGGAGCTTCCTGAGGCTCACATCTAGACACTGGCAGAGCTGGGACTCTGGCTCCCAGAAGCTTGGGGCACTGCTGCCCCGTGGATAGCAGGGCTGCCTGTGTGTGGTGTGGCTGCCCACTCCGGCAGAGGCCCAGGCAGGTCCCCCAGAGCTGGAGGTGGCCTCCGGGGGAAGGCAGGGGGACAGGAGTGGGGAGGCCAGGACCCCAAGGCTCAGGCAGCTGCCACCTGTTGCCCACATTGTTCCTAGATTCCTGGGACTGGAGGGGTTTGTTGAGCAGTTGCTGTACACACTTCCCCCTCCCCCCCCAATAGCCAATGAGGTGGATGGAGGGGCCCAGAGCACAGATCCCCCAGTGTCTGGGCTGGGATTATCCTGCAGACTCCACCTGTCACCGACACGTGTGGCCAGCGACGGCCACTGTGCCCCGCCTGCCCTGTCCCCTCCACCAGAGAGAGTTGGCCCCAGGCTGAGCAGCTGTCTCTAGTCCCCACCTCTTTGGCCCCTGTGAAGCACGGGAGGCTCCTTCCCTGGGAAACTCCCCGGAGAGCACTATTTCCACAGCCTGGGAACAAGCCTCTCGGGAAGGGCGGGCAGTCCTGGAGCCTGGTCACTGTGGGCCTGACCAGCCTTGGCCCCTCTTGCCCCCATGCCTGAGCCCCAGGACACCAGAGGCTGGTGGCCCTGGGTCCCCCCGTGGACACGGTGGAGCCGAGGGGTCTGGTGAATTTCCAGCTACTCCCGCTGGCAGGTGGCTTTGCCTGGAGGGCTGAAAAGAAGCCCGAGCCAGCATGGCCTCTTTGCTTGGTCTTCCCAGTGGATGCAGAATGCCCAGTCCAGGGCCTTGTCCTCCTGCCTGCCCCATCCTGCTTCCCACACCCTTTCCCTGGTCTCCCGTTGCTCGGGTGGCGGAGGTCTTCTGGCTGACTGCAGTCTTCACTCGTCTACAGGATGAAGCCAACGCACACCATCGTCAACTGCTGGTTCTGCAACCAGGACACGGTGGTGCCCTACGGGAACCGCAACTGCTGGGACTGCCCCCACTGCGAGCAGTACAACGGCTTCCAGGAGGTGCAGGGCCACCCCCTCGTCCCCTGCCCCGCGGCCCTCCTTTGAGGATGGGGAAACAGACTCAGGGAACCGAGGTGACTTGTCCAAAGTCACACCGCTAAGATTGGCAGATTTGGAGTTCAGACCCAGATCTCTCTGCTTTGCTCTAGCCCAGGGGTTGGCAGGCTTTCTGCAAAGAGCCACAGAATAAGTATTTTAGGCTTTGCAAGCCATACGCTCTCTGTCGCGACTACTCAGCTCTGCCGAGCCGCCATAAACAATATATAAATGAGTTCGCGGGGCTGTGGTCCCAGAAAACTTGATTCACAAACACTGGCGGCCAGCCTACCAGCCATAGTTTGCGGACCCCTGGCCAGAGCACGGTTTGCAGCCTGAGTTCCCCAGCACTATAGGGTTCTGAGGAATGATGCCAGGTAGAGGTGGGTGGGTGAGGGGTGAGGTCCAGGCTGCACTCCAGGCTGGCTGGCTGCACGCTCGGCATCCTGCCTGTCGGGTTCCATGTGAAGTTTCTTTGGAAGAAAAGCTGCTGTTAAATGTAAAGAAAGAATGGGAAGGTTTGAGATTCACCACCACTTCCCGGAGCCTCGCCACCCAGGGCCTCCGTCCTGGTGCCAAGGCTGGGGAGGCTCCCCACTGACTCAGGTCCCCCTCCTCCCCCAGAACGGCGACTACAACAAGCCGATCCCTGCCCAGTACATGGAGCACCTGAACCACGTGGTGAGCAGCGCGCCCAGCCCCCGTACCCCCCCGCAGCCCCAGCAGTGGGTGAGCAGCCAGGTGCTGCTGTGTAGGAGGTGCAGCCACCACCAGACCACCAAGATCAAGCAGCTGGCCGCGTTCGCACCGCGGGATGAGGTAAGGCTGGGACGCGGAGGGGGCAAGGAGGGGCTAGGGGCGCTTTAGAGTAGTTGAGGGGGAGGCATGAGCTAGGTTCTCCCAGACAGTAGCTTTTCTGTCCTGAGTGCCCGCTGGGCCCCCTCCCCACCCTGACCCTGTGCTGGCCCCACATTCCGGGTGTGTTATTTCTTCCATCTTAGTTGGAGCCCTGCTTGTCGCTCTCCCTCTGTCTCATGATCTCTGCTGTCTGGGCTCCAGGCCTGGAAACATCATGGGAACCCCAGTTCCTGCCAGTCCAGAGGGATTTGTCCCTGGGCAGGGGGAGGTGGGGTCCTTGGGCTCCAGCTGGGGCCCTGTGGGACCCATCCCCTCCGTGTCTCTCTGAGTCAGTCTTGCCCACTGGCTGGCCAGGCACTTTGCTCTGGAGTTGGCGGAGGATGTTCCTGGCTTCTGGGAGAGGAAGATAGGCGCTGCTGAGAGGCTTGGCATTAGTTCACCTCCCTGGGCCAGCCTTGGAGCCCAGCAGCCTTTTTATCTAGTTAATCCCACCTGCCCACCCCCAGCTCAGAGCCCAGCCCAGGGGTCCTGTGACTTCAGGAGCAGATCCAGCTGAGGCCCAGAGACACTGACTTTCCCAGAGTCCAGCCTGGGAGGGAGGGTGGGCAGGAGAATAGAGGTGAGTGAGGGCTGGGCAGGGAGGGACAGGGAATCTGTAGAGGGGAAGGCGTGTGTCACTTGGCAACCAGGGTGGCTTTTCTGGCGTGTTTGGTCCCAGCAAGAGGAGGTCAAACTGATAACGCTCCTGGCCGCTGCAGACTGAAATGTTTGGCTCCCCTGGAAATGGGGAGGGAGAGGTGCGTTGCTGCATCTCCCAGAGAAGGAGGGGTGGGACTCAAGTCTTCTGGGCTATTCCTGAAGCCCTAAGAACTCTTCAGCTCCCACTAAGGCCCTGGCCCAGCCAGGGGCCCTCTGGTGTTTTCTAGATCCTTGGGTTTAAGAGAGAGGCAGACCCTGCCTCTGGGTTGTCCATCTGCTCAAGTCCCGGTAGTGTCAGCCTAGAGCCACCTTCTCCTGTGGCTTGCCCGCCTTCCTAGAGCTCTGGACTCCAGGAGCAGGACCTGCAGCAGGGACCCAGTCCCGAGCTCCTGGCCCTCAGGTGTATCCTGTGGAACAACAGAACTTGGCTAGAATGTCTCCCGTCACCTGTGTCCCAGGTTCTGGGCCAGCCCTTACAGCTGACATCACCATGTGCGGTGAGCTGTTTGTCCTGTTGGGCAGCAAAGGGAACAGGTTCATAGTGGAGGCAACTTGCCCATGGTCACCCCACTTGTAAGTGAACCTAGGATCGACTTACTAGACGGGCAGCCTCAGTCGCCCCCCCGAGGACCCTGAGCTTCTGTCCGCCCCTCTGCAGGGCAGGTACGATGAGGAGATCGAGGTGTATCGGCACCACCTGGAGCAGATGTACAAGCTGTGCCGGCCGTGCCAGGCCGCCGTCGAGTACTACATCAAGCACCAGAACCGCCAGCTGCGCGCCCTGCTGCTCAGCCACCAGTTCCAGCGCCGGGAGGCCGACCAGACCCACACGCAGGTCTGAGCAAGGCGTCACCGTCTCGAGTTTGTGCAGAAACCCCTCACAGAGGGCTGGGCCCCAGACCAAAGGGTAGCTCTTCAGAGCTGGGACCCTGTTCCCTGGGGCAGCAGCCTTCCAGTGGGGCCACATTCCTACCCTGTCCCCAGGCCCCTTTGTGTCATCAGCCAAAGCAGGTGTTCTGAGAAGACTGGTTCAGTGTCATGATGCATTTGCTACTTGGGTCCTTAAGCAGGGCTTGAGTTGCCCTGCTGTATCTGGGCACTTACCCGACACCTGTGTTCGAATCAGAGCACCCTTGGTGGCAGGTGCGCTCCTAGGAGTGGTGACTCCCGTTTCCAGCCGTGGAAGCCCCACTTGGGAGGTTAAGTAAGTTGCAGAGGGCCACACTCCTGGGGTGCAGTGGTACCAGGAGTTGAACCCAGGACCGTCTGGCTAAAACTATCATTTTTTTTTTTTTTCCCCCCCAAAGCCCCAGTAGATAGTTGTATGTCATAGCTGCACATCCCAAAAAACTATCATTAATTTTTATGATTGTACTCAATTAATGGAATGATCTGGTTAAAAAAATGTGTTAGGGGCCGGCCCCGTGGTGTAGCAGTTAAGTGTGTGCACTCCGCTACTGGCGGCCCAGGTTCAGATCCTGGGCATGCACTGACACACCGCTTGTCTGGCCATGCTGAGGCGGCGGCCCACATACAGCAACTAGAAGGATGTGCAACTATGACATACAACTACTGACTGGGGCCTTGGGGAGAAAGAGGGAAAAAAAAAAAGAGAAGGATTGGCAATAGATGTCGGCTCAGGGCCGGTGTTCCTTACAAAAAAAATATATATGTTACAGTGGCAAGTGGATTTAGAAGTAAAAACCATCTCCCTCCAAAGAAATTCGCACCCCTCGAGTCCCCAGATGTGCCCTGTGTCCAGTTGGTGTGCAGTTTCCAGTCTGCAGCCAGGTCCCCGACCATATGGCCACAGTAGTGGCCCGCACACCCGTGTTTGCGTGGCAAGACACTGTGACCTTTGGTTTTCCTGCTTGCCACCATAGAGGTTTCCTGCTCCCTAGACTGAGCAACTTATTGCTGTATTTTTTAACTTAATTTTGGCCAGAGTTATCTGTATATTTATTACAATTCCAATTAAAATCACAATAGGATTTTTTTTTTTCGGTGAGGAAGATTGGCCCTGAGCTAACATCTGTCGCCAATCCTCCTCTTTTTGCTGAGGAAGATTGTCGCTGAGCTAACGTCTGTGCCAGTCTTCCTCTATTTTCTATGCGGGATGCCACCACAGCATGGCTTGATGAGCGGTGTGTAGGTCTGTGCCTGGGATCCGAACCTGTGAACCTCAGGCCACTGAAGCAGAGCGCATGAACTTAACCACTACCCCACAAGGCCAGCCCCACAATAGGAATTTTTGATGAGAACTTGACAAAGTGATAGAAATTTATTTGAAAGAATAGGTCACGATAATATCGAAGGGATTTCTTTAAAGAATGTGGCAGAGCAATACCCCTCCCCACACAGTAACTCTTGCAGGGGTGAAGGCCCAGAAATGGGACACATCCATGGAACACAGTGATAAACTAGAAACAAGGCCGAGAATGCATCAGAATTTAGGGCCCACTAAAGACAGCATCTCTGATCATCAGGATCTTCAGCGAGTGCTCTGGGGCCCTGGCCAGATCCCTATGCGCACAGTGGGCACCGGGAATGGCCGTTGGTGGCTCTAGCCATCTCTCTCACCAGTCTCTCCTTCCTCAGAGCTTTTGCTCGGCTGTGGTGAAGGCCCCGGTCCAAGTCATCGTGCTGCGTGCCCTCGCCTTCCTGGCCTGCACCTTCCTTCTGACCACTGCACTGTATGGCACAAGCAACCCCTTTGCCCCGGAGGCCACCCTGCCGCCAGCCCTGCCACCTGGTGGCAATGGCTCAGCCACACCTGACAACGGCACCACCCCTGGGGCTGAGGGCTGGCGGCAGTTGCTGGGCCTGCTGCCAGAGCACGCGGCAGAGAAGCTGCACGAGGCCTGGGCCTTCGGGCAGAGCCACCAGATGGGCGTCGTGGCGTTGGGCCTGCTCACCTGCCTGCTGGCCATGCTGCTGGCCGGCCGCATCAGGTGCGTGTGGGGCCGGGCAGGGCAGGACTGCGTGGAGGAAAGTGCTCAGGGGTGGAGCCCTGGGCTGAGCTCCGCAGTGTAGCGGGAACAAGATGCGGTCCTTCTTCTCTGGTGGCTGGGAGTCTGGCGGGCGAGAGGAGAGCAAATGACCTGCCTTAGAGGGGTCAGCGGCACTCAGAGCCGGCCCGCCACTTACCGCTGTGTGCTGGGGCTCTTGGGGCCAAATCGCCTCTCTCTCCACCTCAGGCTCCTCGTCTGCAGAGTTGGAGGGGTGATAACTGCCAGCCTCCTGGTGGGAGGGTCAGGAGGGGGGCCCTCGGGCCCTTGCTATCCCTCCCTGGGTGGTTGCAGACCCTGTGCTGAGTGGTGTCCACATTGTCTCAGTGACTGAGGGAGGTTTCTTAGCCCTGTTGTACAGGCTAGAACACTGAAGCTTAGGAGAATCACCTGCTCGGAGTGTAAGTGTTGGCCCCAGGCGTCAGAGGCCCGTGCCCTCCTCTTGGCTCTGGGTTTTGTCCCTGAGCAGGGCCGGGCTGCTGCAGGCAGCAGCCTGCAGCCTTCCTTCCTGAGGCAGGAAGTGGCAGGAGGGGAAGGGGTCTTCTGCTGCTGCAGTGGGCCCTCACCCCCACCCCCTTCCCCCCAGCAGGCTCCGGAGGATCGACGCCTTCGCCACCTGCCTGTGGGCCCTGCTGCTGGGGCTGCACCTGGCTGAGCAGTACCTGCAGGCTACCTCACCCAGCTGGCTGGACACGCTCAAGTTCAGCACCACGTCCCTGTGCTGCCTGGTGGGCTTCACGGCAGCCGTGGCCACGAGGAAGGCGACGGGCCCACGGAGGTTCCGGCCCCGAAGGTCAGAGAAGCAGCAGTGACTGTGGGGGGAGGACAGACGGACGGACAGGCCCAGAGCTTTGCCCCCAGCCTGGAGCAGGGCACCTCAGTCTTGCATCTTTCTTACCTGCCTCACTCCCGTACCTGCCCAGTCTAGAACCTCCAGTCCTGGCCAGCTCCTCCACTTCCCTAAGGACTCAGGCCTGCCCTCTTTTCCTTTCCGGCACCACCAAGCCATCCCCTAGCCCACGGCGCTGCCCGAGTGCCCTGTGGCTGCTGACCACTGCCGCCACCTCTCTGGCCAAAGACCCCCTCACTGCCCCAACACTCGAATGCAGGTGGCGCCCACGCAGCCTGCCTCTGACACCATTGGACGAGGGTTGTGGGCCTGCTGTCTGTTTCCCCTCCTACTTTGCCCTATCTCTGAGCCCCTGGCACAGGGGCTGGTGACAGTGGCTGCGGGCTGGGCCCTTGCTGCATGGCCTGACCACTCGGGCTGCTTGGCACGGCAGGTGCTGCTGAGCAGGGGCCAGAGCAGAGCCCCCCACCTTGTCCCCACGTCACCTCTCTGGTCTGTCCTGTTGGTCCTGCCTGTTGCCTTGCCAGCACTGCCAGAGACAGTGGAACCAAAAGGAGGCAGGGTTGTGCCCTGGGTCCACTGCTCAGTTCCCTGCTCTGAGACCCCATTTTCCCTCAGCCTCCTTCCCTGGGAATGGAAAGTACAGTTCTTGGGCCCACACTGGCCTTGACAATGTGTTTGTGGGGTGAGGCCCTTCTCAAGGTGGACAGTAGAAAAATTCTCTTCTCCTGTGGTCAGCAAGTTCCTTCTTAATAGCCAGGCTGTGGTGGAAGCTTGCCCAGGTTGGGGTGGTCTGAATAGTCTTTCCTTATTCATGTATTTTGTGGGCCACATAGAGAAATAGGGCGTGCATGCTCTGCCCACTCCCCTGGGAAGCCCCTGGCTCTGCCCTGGAAAGGCAGGCCCCTGACCCTTATGGCTGAGCCCTCCACCTGTGCACCGCAGGGGCTGGGGTTCAGGCTTCCTGGGCCAGGGCTGCCCTAACCAGCCAGCAGTGTAGAACTGCTCTCATTGGCTCTGCCCCCCCCATGCCCGAGATGTCCCCAATTTCTTCCACTCACTGCCATGTGATGCCTGGGAAAAGTACTAACTGCCCAAGGTTAGTACAGGGTAAAGGGCCCCAGGACACACAGGCCCACCATGACACCAGTCATTTATCACCTTGTGCCTCTCTGGCCTGTCACTGTTACCACCCTCCTGGTCCCTGGAGCCCCTCGTGGAGGGTGCCAAGGCTTCTGCTTTCCACTCCCCTGTGGGGCAGCCACAGAGCCCCCAGGGCCTCAGCCTCGCTCTGCTTGGGTCAGGTGGGCGTGGAGGGACGGTGGCCGACCCCGAGCCCCACGCAGGGCTGCCTCCTCCCAGTTGCCACTCCAGGGGAAGAGGCCGATGTGTGGTACAGACCTGCTACTCCTGGCCAGGCTGCAGCCTCGGTTTACCATCTGTGAAATGAGAGGTGGACCCCCCTCCAGGGCCCTTGACTGCTGACCTTGGTGTGGACCTGCTCTGGAAACCGAGGTGCCTTCCACATGCAGAGGTTCTCAGCCTAGGGCTGCCTTCAAGGGCCACAGCAGGAGAGGGGACCAAGGCTGCCCTTAGTTGGTGTTTTGCACTCTGATAACCCCAGAGTGGGCCTCGTACTCCCTCCAGAGCCCATGTGTCTGCCACTTGTCACTCAGCATAAACCCCACTCCAGGTGTGGCCCCAAGTGTGCCAACGCCTCCACTCCGCTCTGCATGTCAGAGCCCAGAGGAGACAAAAGCAGATTACACATGTGTGAGGGTCACATTCAACAAGAGCAGGGGGCCACCAACTAACTGTGCCTGAGGGGGCAGGTGAGCGAGTGCCCTGGTCAGGCCCCTCGTAGAGCCCCCTAAAGAGCTCAAGAGTCGTGCCCGAGCCCCACTGTCACCTGCTCGCCTGATTGGGTGGCAGCCTCTGCCTGCTTGGCGTCCGTGTGTGGAGACCCCCGTGTCAGGAGCGTCCCCCCATTAGCTTTGGGGGCTCAGCTGGTTCTGTGTGGAGGGGGAGGTGGAAAACCACTGGGGAGACGGGAGGAGGGGTGGGGGACAGCTTAGCCTGGAGCAAGCCTGTCTGTGCAGGGTGGGGAGACGCTGCCTTCCCTCCGCCCCCAGTCAGCCTGCCTGAGGGGAGGGGAGGCGCAGGTACCAGGTGGAGCACCAGCAGTCTGTTGGCGGTGCATGCCTTTGTATCTAGAATCTTCTGTTCTCGAGGAAACTGACAGCGTGATGCTAATTACTGCTTTTCTTGGCATTGAGTAGAAGTCAGACATCTGTGTGTATGTATGTATTTAAGTTAAATTATTTATAATAACCGTAACCAGCTCTCTTGCTGGCCGGGAGCCCCAGCTGAGCAGATGTCCTCCCTGCCCTCCAGTGGGGATGGAGAGACACCCTCACGAGATGAACCTCGTCAGAGGAAGGCGTCCTGGCCTTTTTAGAGTTTTGTGTGACTTTTTAAAATTACCCATCTGTCCTTTAAAGTTTCATTACTTGGAGCATATTCCAGCACCTTCTGATGTTACTGGCAACAATGAGGAAGTGCAGGCACCACTGGGATCATGGCTTATTAACTGGGAATGTGTCACCCCACCAGGGATCTCCCCTCCACTGGGGACGACCGTCAGAGCATCTGGGGTTGGGGTGACCGTGAGACGTGAGGGAGGTCCACGTGGCTGTCTTCTCCCTCCAGGCCTGGGGTCCCCACCCCGGGCCGAGCAGCTCCTCCCTCACTTGCCCAGGAGCAAACCGCCTCGACGCCCCCGCCCAGGAGGAGCTGTGTCCCTGGGACTGTTGCTGAGTCTCTCGTCCCTGCCCGTGTAGTAGAACTGGATGATTGTCTAGTGACCCTCCGCTCGCTGTAACCATGACTCCTGGCCGTAGACGGCGTGTTTTTAATGCTGTATTTTCAATAAATGCCTCCGGGGTCCTGCTTTTACCGGTGGGCGTCAGGCACTGCGTCTTTTTTGTTTTTTCTTTCACGTTCCTTCAGAGGCTTCTGTGCCGGGGGCGGGGGATTTTGGGGGACAGACGTGCCCACAAGAGTCAGGTTTGGGAGCTGGTGACGTGGACCCCAAATGGCTCAGGGCCCAGCTGTCTTCGCGTGCCCCCTGTGTCGTATTTTCCCCATCTCAATAAACTGCTGCAAGTGTAGGCCTCGCTCTCCTTCCACTCCCAGCTTGGACTGGTGTTGGGTTGAAAAAGACCAAACGTCCTTTGTGTCAGCTGGGACACAGTCCCATGGCCCGACCCCTCCCCAGCACCCCTTTTCCCCGGTGGACGTGCAAACTTGATTTTGGGCTGAGTGCCTGTCTGAAACGGGATTTGAGGGCACGGGGCAGTCAGGGGGGCCTCGCCAAAGGAAGCATCGGTACCTTTGAAGCTCTCCAGCCTGGCGGAGATTGGATCCTTTAACTGGAGGCTCCCAGGGGACCATCTTCCACATAGCCCTGGAGAGCTCACACTTGGTGCTTTGCGAGGATCCGCTAGTTGAGTGATGTCACAGTGAGAGGGGTCAGACCAAGAACTGTCTCCCCACAGTGCCAGCATTTTTTATGGCATCAGAGATGGGAACAGCACCTGTGCCAGATGGATGAGCGACTCAGGCCCTAAGCACTGGGGCGGCCCCAGCTGTGAGCAGGATCTGGGAAAAGTGGGAGAGAGTTGGCAAGACCCAGCCAGCTGACCATCTCTGAGACCCGCAGCCTGACTTGGACCCGCCCCCCTCACTGCTGGTTAGCAGGATCGCCCTTGCGACTCCTAGCCTTGCCTGTGGGCTGCCTGGGGGGGTGGGCACAGGAAGCCCAGCGCAGAGTCCTGCTGCCGTCTGCTGGAAGGGCCTGGGCATCCCCTGTTCTTGTCAGGCTGCTGCTTCGCCCGACGAGACTCAGTCCTCTAGGAGGTGCGGGCCCCAGCGGAGGACAGAGCTTCGAGCGTGATCGGAGCAAGTTGGCCAAAGGTCCCAGCGTGCCCTCACTGCCCCTGCAGTGTCCCCCCACCTCAGGCCATCCCCCAAGGTAGTGACCCGCCCTGCTAGATGGTACTGCAATTTTGAAATGACAGCACAAGGTTGTATCTTCTGTTGAGAGGCAGAACCTTACCCTGGCGTCTTAGGGGCAAGGAGGAGAGTGTCAGACAGGCTCGGGCAGGACAGGACAGTGGGTGGAGTTTGGGCACGTCCATCCTGGAGCCAGCCAGCTTAACCAGATCTTTCTGCAGATTCACTTAGTGAGCTCCTGCCTTGATTTACCCATATTCCCCAAACACTGGGCCCCACCTTTGCTTCTGAAGTCCAGGTTACCTCCTGGTGCTTTGAAAGGTATTAAAAAGGTCACATGATTTCCAGGAAGGCAACAGCTGACCCCACACTTCCCTCATAATACTTGTTTATAAAGTGAGGGGCGGGGATGAAAAACAGCCAGGAAATCGGTCGAGTGTAGCTTGGCTAGTGGTGCCCCAAGCGTTTGGTGGTGATGGGCATGGGTGGGTACCTTAGCTGGCCCCCAGCTCTGCTGCAGGGCCTGAGCCAGCCTGCCCGGCGTCAGCACATTGTCCATGGGCCCATTTGTCCCTTGGGACCGAGGTAAGGCTGGACCTCCGCAGCTCCGTCCAGATGGCAGACTAATGGATTAACTGCCTCTGCCCCTCCCCGTCTGTAATCAGGTGCCTTAATCAGAAGCATGGTTGACATTCTGGCTTGGGGCCGCCAGGTCCTGTGGTGTGATTTGTACCATTCTCGAGTTAAAGAGACACTGTCACCTTCCGTCTTTCCGGCAGCCTCGCGGTCGTTTAAAGGTCTTTTCTAAGTTTGGGTCTGGCTTGTGTCCTGTGAGAGCCTCTTCCTGGGGATTCCCAAGCCTGGCCGCCTCCCCCTCTGCTCTGCAAGGGGTTTTAGAGGAGTGTCCTGTGTCTGAGACCAGAGAGCAGCAGTGGGACTCCAGAGTCGGGCCCTGGGGAGCAGGGGGCTCCCTGAGCTGGCCGCTGTGTCAGGAGGCTCTGGGCCCAGAGCAGGAGGTGGCAAGGAGGAACCCAAGGCCATTGGCCTGTACTGTGTGCCTGGCATGGCCCGGCATTTTGCTTCAAGGCGAAGGGTTGGTGTGAGGTTGGCAAGGGCGACAGTGTCACTTTAATACCGAGACTCAGTAGTGGAACTAGTTTGCTGTGAGGCTGTGGGGGATCGGAGGGGGCATGCCGGGAGGGGTGGGCACGCTGGCACCTCCCAGCCACCCGCTCCTAATGGCGTAAATGTGGTCGGACTGCTTTTCTGCTTCCACTAACACACGCCTCCTCGGGGACCCCGACTCAGGCCCCACCTTGCACTGGGGGAGAGGGGCTGGGCACCCCCAGAGCACCCCCAGAGCCCTCCAGGGTGACCTCCTCCTCTCTCTCGTGCCCGACGGGCTCTTGCAGGTACTTCCTCGGAGACTCCGCCAGCCTTTTCCCCACTAGCCCCAGCCTGGCCATCCCCTGCCCGAGTATCGCAGGCTCTTCGCCATCTCTGTTCATCCCCACCCCGCCCGGCTTCTTGCCACTCGCCAACCAGCACCTGTTCCGGTCTCCCCGCCGGGCCTCACCCTCCTCACTGCCAGGCCGCCTCAGCCGGGCCCTCTCACTGGGAACCATACCCTCTCTGACTCGAGCAGGTAAGGCGTTCGGGCATCAGCGGACGGAGCAGGGCTGGGGGAAGCTGGGCACAGGGACTCTGGCCGAGTACAAGGTGGCAGGTGTGCAGGAGAGTGGTTAGAGCTCCTGCTGTAGAGATGGGTGGAACTGGGTTCAAATCCTGGTACGTCCACTCAGTAGCTGCCCTTAGCCAAGGGACTTAACCACTCTGAGCCTCAATTTGCCTCCAAAAAAATGAGGCTACCAGTAGAACCCACCCATGGTGGTTGTGCGGGTTAAAGGAGATGATGTATTTGAAGTGTATCCAATGGGTGCTCAGTAAGTGTTCACGCTTGTTGGGGATTGTGTTTTACCGCCATTCTTACTGTTATTATTACTGCTGCTGTTTTGAGACTGAGGGAGCTAGAAAATTTGCCCCGGCCTCTCTGTGTGGTCCAGAGGGCAGGGATTCAGTTCAGGTCAGTCGCATTTATTGAGGACTTGCTGCACGTGGGCCCTAGTGTGACTCAGACCTGGTCCCTGTCACGAGAGACTTTCTCTCCTCCCTCACCTTTCCCAGCAGGATCTTCCTGGGAGGTCATTTGTAAATCAGATTCAGTGTCACCTACTTGGAGCCCGCGAGTGTTCCGTGGTGACCCGCATCCCTTTGGGAAGCCACCTGGTGTGGCGTGGACTGACTGGGTTTGCCTCCCCCTCGGTGGTGTGGCCTGGGGGGCTGGGGGCTACGAGGCAAGATCCCATTCGCTAAGAACGTGGGCGGCTTCTTGGTAAACGGAGCTTGCTAACATACAGTGTCTCATTTAAGCCCCTCAACAGCTCCGCCGGGCGGGGGCTCCAGCTCCAGTCAGATGCCCCAGTGAGTCCTGGTTTCCTTCCCAGACTTGCCCAGGGGCCCGCTGCTGCTGGGACGCGGGGTTTGAGCCCAGCTCAGGCTTCTTCTAGTCCTGTTGTGTGCAATCAGGGGTCCTCCTGGGTTGGGGGGTGACACTGCAGGAGGGACGGCTCACTGGGGGACACAGCGTTTGAGCTGAGTGGTGGAGAGGGTCCGAGGGTGGGATTGACGGTGTCATGCCCCACGTACACAGATATGGACTCCAGATGTCTCTGTGTAACCAAACGTGAGCCAGGTTGCTGGGGGAAAGGGCTGCTGCCTGCCCCCTGCCGGGAATCGTTACTCAGCAGAGTTCGTGAGCCCCTGCCTTCGGGAGAGTCACAGCCAAGCCCTGGCCCAGCTCAGGCCCTGGGGCTGACGGGGCCACTGTGGGCTCTTCCTGAACAGCAGTGGGAGCAGGGGGACCATGGAATGCCATGGACACGGGAACCTGGGAAGCCCAGCGGCTGGGCCCTTCCCCAAAAGAGTGTTCTCTGGAGCTCCCCACCAGGAGCCAGGGACAGGATGTCAGGCCCTCAGGGTGGGGGTGGGCCAGTGGGGGCAGGGGCCCAAGCTCCCGGGCCTCTGCAGGACGGGCTCGGGTGTAGACCCTACCAGAGCCTGTTGATGGCCGTCTTGGGGAGAAAGGGGTGCAGACTAGACAGGGAGCGTTGCCTCTTGCTTTGTTCTTTAAAAATTGAAATGACTTGGGGCCAGCCCACTGGTGTAGTGGTTAAGTTCGCACGCCCTGCTTTGGTGGCCCGGGGTTCACAGGTTCAGATCGCTGGCGCAGACCGAGGCACCACTCATCAGGCCATGCTGTGGAGGCATCCCGTATACAAAATAGAGGAAGATGGGCACAGATGTTAGCTTAGGGCCAATCTTCCCCCCCCCGCCCCAAAGCCCCAGTAGATAGTTGTATGTCATAGCTGCACATCCTTCTAGTTGCTGTATGTGGGACGCGGCCTCAGCGTGGCCAGAGAAGCGGTGCGGTGGTGTGCGCCCAGGATCCGAACCGGGGCCACCAGCAGCGGAGCCCGCGCACTTAACCACTAAGCCACGGGGCCGGCCCAGGGCCAATCTTCCTCAGCCAAAAGAGGAGGATTGGCAATGGACATTAGCTCACGGCCAAGCTTCCTCACAAAAAAAAAGAAGAAATGATGTGGGTTAATAGTCCTGCGGGGTGAAAGGCAGGGACTTGACCTCCAAAGGGAGCATTTCTGCTCCCCATGTTCCCTGTAAGGCAAATGTAGGGTTGAGAAACAGCCTGGGCTCTCCACTGCCACCCACCCTCCCTCTGGAGAAAACCCCACTCAGTTTGATGGAGGCGAAATGGGGGGAGCTCAGACTACCTCTCGGTGCCTCCCTTTCCCCATCTGTAAGCGGGGCTAGTAATACACACTTGGTAGGGTTGTCATGAAGACTGTACTCAGGAAACAAAAGTGCCGGGAACCGCCGTGTCCGCTGGCAGCGGCCGAGCAGGGCCCCTCACTCCATGACCTTGGGTGGGTACGTGCATCTCCCTGCACCCTAATCGCCTCTAAAATGGGGCAGCTATGCCTCGGGGCTGTGGTGGGCATGACATGAGTCCATGTCAGGGAAGCTTCTAGAAGAGGGCCCTCAGCAAACATGGCTGCTGTTATTGTTGTGGGATGGGGAATACCGATAACAGCAACAACCAGAGGCCTGGCTGCTCCAGGGTGGTTAAAGGCCCAGCCGCTTGCTCATGCCCCCAGCTGATGTTAGGATGGTTTGCTTACCCCTACCAGAGACGTCCTCCTCTGTTTCCTGTGGAACTTGGGGTAGAGGAGGGCAGACTGCCGAGGATGCCAGGAGCCCAGCAGGACGTGGCCAGGAGCAGCCCTGCCCTGGCCCGAACACTCCCGGGAGGACTTGCTGTGCGCGCTGACCAGGGTGGCCGGGCTGAGGGGCTTCCATTTCAAGCCCCTTGGGAGAGGAGGAGGGCGATCCCAGAGTCAGTTCATGCCTTTGGGGCAGGGCCTGCCACCCACTGCAGACGACAGGCAGTCTCCCTGTCGCCCTTCGGGGCTGGAGGCAAGGGCTCAGGAGTGGCCCCACCCCGAGGGTGGTAGGCAGTTCTGTGGGTGCAGGCTGGTCTCAGAATGTCGGGTGATGGGGAGATCCTGGTCTCCATTGCCAGGGGTCCAGGATGAGTTTTGCACGTCCTTGGCTCATGTAATCAGGAGACCCTGGTGGTCTGGGCTCAGGCACTGTGCCAGGTTCCTTCTTCCTGGGTCTCTCTCTCTCTCAGCTCTACTCGCCTCTGCTCCTCTGCTGCAGGCCTCGTCCCTGTGTCCCCACAGCTCACACCCAGCGGGAAGACCCCCATCCCAGCACCCACAGAGCAGGTTCTTGGAAGGACTCCGGCTGTGCTTGGGCTGTGTGGCCACCCTTACCCAGTCACACGGATTGACCTGGGTCTGTGTCCCCGGGCCTGGTGGGGGGAAGGGGTAGGCAGTTCACTGTCACCAGTGGACCCTCAGAGCCCGACGGGTGGTGGAGCAGCAGCCGCCCATGACAGGGTACATAGCAGTCGCCAGATCTTTCCATGCTCAGCTCTCAGCTGGGCACTGGGGGGAACACAGGGCATGTGAGATGGAGTCCCTGCCCATAGGGTGCGGTAACTGAGGAGAAGGCAGAGTGCTCAGTGCTCCCTGAGGTCCAGCGCAGGGGGTCAGGCGACCGGGGTTAGGAGGAGGCAGGTCTCAAGATGGCTGAAGAGGTGGGGCCTCGTGGGGAGACAAGGGCCAAGAATGAGGAGTCGAGGAGTTGGAGACTTGGTCTGGGTGCCAACTCTTCTCACGTGTGGCCTGCTGTGGGTTTCGGTTTCTTGATCTGCGAAATGGGAGTGGGCCCAGCGTCCTCAGATGGTGGGTTAAGGAGTCAGTTGAGAGCCTGTGTTTTTGTGAAAGCGTGACATGAATGACAAAGGTGGGGTTCAGCAGAGCAGGTCGTGGGGGGTGGGGGCAGAGGGGGGAATGGGAGAGAGGGTGGGTGCACTCGCCCCTGTAGGCCTGACCCATGTCACCTTTCTCTTTCCTCTCCAGACTCAGGGTATCTGTTCAGTGGGAGCCGCCCACCATCTCAGGTGTCTCGATCTGGGGAGGTTCCTGTTTCAGGTGAGAAGAGAGAGCCAAGAGGAGTGACAGGAGCCGCTTTTGGGGGGCAGTGTGGACCGGGGTTTGCAGAGCGTGTGTGGGGTAGGACGCAGAGTGGTTAGGCATGAGCTTTGGGGTCAGACAGATCTTCATTCAAATCCCAGCCCTGTGCCTCCCAGCTGTGCAGCCCTGGCTGGGCAAGTGACTGACAGCCCTGTGCCTCAGTTTCCTCTTCTTTGAAATGGGTGTGATCGTTACTAGGATTAGATATACTGCTGTCGAGCTTATCAGTGAGCACTGACAGAGCGCACTCAGGATCCTGCCGTCAGTAGGGCTTGGGAAGGTTGACCTTAAGTCTCAAGAGTGTGTTCCCTCCTGGCCTTGCTTCGGCTAGGGGAGGTACCGGGGGCTTTGGATAGAAATCGGGGTGCGGAGGACAGAGGGGACATGGCTGAGGCTCCGTGATTCTCTCCTGTCCCTCAGGGCCCCTCCTTCCTCACTTCCCAGCAGGGTTCCCCTGTCCCCTGTGTCTGCACAGCCTTGCTTTCTTCCTGGTTGTAGAGGAGGAGCAGCAGGAACAGAAGAGGTAGTGGGTGTTACTGCAGCAAACGTTCATAGCTTCCTCGTCCTCTGCCCTCCAGATTACTTCTCTCTGCTGTCCGGCAGCTGCCCCTCCTCCCCGCTCCCTTCCCCCGCGCCCTCCGTGGCCGGCTCGGTGGCCTCCAGTGCTGGCTCTCTGCGCCACCGCAGACCTCTCATCAGCCCTGCCCGGCTCAACCTGAAGGGGCAGAAGCTGCTGCTGTTCCCGTCGCCCCCCGGGGAAGCCCCCAACACCCCCAGCAGCTCTGAGGAACACTCGCCCCACAACGGCAGCCTCTTCACCCTCGAGCCGCCCCAGAGGCAGCCAGCGCGGGACAGGAAGCACACTGTGGGTACGGCCTCTGACCGCCCTCCTGGGAGGCAGGACCGCCTGGCGGGGCTGTGGGAGCACCGTGGCCTCGGCCCACGGTGTACAACTGTGGGGACACTGTTGAGAGGCTGCACAGGGCCCATCCTTGCTCTGATCTGTTTGTGTGGCTACTCTCCCAAGTTCCAGACACACCTGGCTTGGCTCCTGGTGACCTTGAACCCTCCAGGACATTGCTCTCTGTTGGCTGATTCTGTTTTCTTCCTTTGCGATTGACCTTGAGGGTACTCTTTTCCTTGGGATGGATCAGAAAGACATCATGCGCTGCCAGGCTGTGTCTGGTCATGGATTTTTGTTTTGTTTTGTTTTTGGTGAGGAAGATTGTTCCTGAGCTAACATCTATGCCAATCTTCCCCTATTTTGTATGTGGGACGCCGCCACAGCATGGCTTGATGAGCAGCTTGTAGGTCTGTGCCTGTGATCCAAACCCATGAACCCCAGGCCGCTGAAGCAGAGCATGCGAACTTAACCACTATGCCACTGGGCCAGCCCCTGGTCTTGGATATTGTTGTTTTGCTCAAATGGTGTTGTTCTGCAAAGCTTTTTTAAATTATGCCTCAACCTTTAAAATCTAAAACTTTTACATGAATGTGTGGATTTCCTGAATCTTTTATGATGTCAGAAGATCTGGCCGCACTGGGCCTGAATACTGGCCAGACAGGTAGAAGGGCAGGTTGGGGTCCCCCATCCCAGCCTCTGCTGCTCCCTGCCGCGTTGACCTGCCCCCTCCAGATCCTTACTTGTGGCCGTCCTCTGCCAGCGCCTGCCGGCGTTTGAATTTGCTGCTGCTAATCTAAAACCAGCTCCCTTCACAGGCAGCTACGCAGCCAGGATCTGAATGAGGACATGGCCTCCCACTGTCCAGGGTGGGGTAAGCGGGTTGGGACAGGCAGGGCTGCACTTCCGAGGACTGTTCTGGGATTGGAGGTGGAGCTGCCCCACATCTGTCCCTGGGGGTGAGATGTGAGCAGCCGCTGAGACACCCCTTCTCTCTGCAGACATGAGGTCAATGCCAGAACGAGGCAGCCCCTGCAGCACCCACTCCATCAAGAAAGAGGACGACTCGTCCCAGTCATCCACCTGTGTGGTGGACACCACCACCAGAGGGTGTGCGGAGGAGGCCGCTGCCTGGAGAGGTCTGCTCCCTGGTGTGGGGGAGGAGGGCAGGGCAGCCTGGGGGCTGTGGGGCTGCAGCCCCCATCACCTCCTAGTCTGTCTGGGACCCTGACAGAGGAAGACCCCTCAAGGGCCCTTGAGTGACGGAGGATGGTTAAATAACCCACCCAGCGCCTTCTGGACCCAGACTGTGACTCAGCAGACAGCTTTCCCAGCCTGGGGTTAGGGTCTGGATCTGCGCTATTACCACGGCCTCTGGCCACAGGCAGCTACTTCAGTTTTAACAGAATTAAAATTTAATAGCAGTAAGGATGCAGTTTCTCAGCTGCACCAGCCATGTTTCAAGTGCTCTGTTGCCCCGGCTGGCCTGTGACTGCTCTAGCAGACAGCACCGACACGGAACACTTCCACCATCACAGAAAGGTCCCTGGGAGGGCATGGCCTGGAGATCCTGGGTGCACTGGGGGCCTAGCACAGGGGCTGCAGGCCCGCCCTGGGCGCCGAGCTGCCTGCGTTCAGATCCAGCTCCTCTGCTCGCAGGCTGCAGGGCGAGGGTGAGGTCAAACCCTGGTTCTGTGTGAAGCACAGCATGTGCTGAGCCTTGATGTCAGCCCCCGGGGCCCTCCCGGAGCGTGGGGGCTATGAGTCAGTGAAGATGGATGGCCCAGCACGCAGGGAGTTCTCCTGGAAAGATCGTTGTGAGCTGACTGGAAATGGGGACTACCCTCAAATCAGGCCACGTCTGGCGGGTGTGACGTGGCACCATCGAGGCCGTGGCCAGAGCACAGACTTGGGATGGGGGACCCTAGTCAGCAGCTGATTTTCTCTGAGCCCTGGGCAGGGTTCTCACCCCCTAAAGCCCCCGGTTCCTGTCTGTAAAGTGGGTGTCACACACCCCCACCCCCATCACCAAGGGACAAGCCCATGACTCCCAGCCCAGTACCTGCCTGGTGGCACGAGCTCAGGAAAGGAGGCACCTTTGGAGAGGCAGGACTCGACCAAGGAACCCCAAGTTTACGGGTCTTTCCTGGTGGGGAGGCCTCTGGGTGCCAGAAAAGAACTAGGGTGGGGCCTCAGCCCAGGAGAGCCCTTGGGCACAGGACCTCAGCCCAGGTGAGGCCCCATAGCTGCACGCATCTCTCTTTTTTTCTTTTTCTTCTTCTTCTTTTTTTTTTTTTTTTTTTGGTGAGGAAGATTGGCCCTGGGCTAACATCCGTGCCCATCTTCCTCTACTTTATACGTGGGATGCCTGCCATAGCATGGCTTGACAAGCAGTGCTTAGGTCCACGCTCAGAATCCGAACCTGTGAACCCCGGGCTCCCAAAGCAGAGCACGTGAACTTAAGCACTACACCAGTGGGCCGGCCCCCATAGCTGCATCTCTGGTGGGCTGGGCTAGCCGCTCTGCAGTCCTACCCACAGGTTCCTCTTCTGACCTTTGGCCTTTGACTGGATCTTTCATCTCTGGCAGGTCTTTTCGGCCCCACCCTGGTCCGGGGTCTCCTGGCTGTGAGCTTGGCTGCCAATGCCCTCTTCACCTCGGCCTACCTGTACCAGAGCCTGCGCTGACCCGCTGCCCGGAGAGTCTTGGAGGGCACGCCCAGGGGCATGCTGCTTCCACCACTGCCGGCCTCAAAGCCCTCCCCGAGGGCTGCCGCCCCTGCCCTCTTCCCCAGGGCCCCTGACCTCGCTGGATTGAGTCCCATCCTCGGGCCGCCTTCTCCTCCTCACCTGTCACTCTGCAGGGCCGAGCGTGGTCTGTGGGGTCACCCTCCTCCCTGCCCATCTCCTTGGCTGACATTGGTTGTGTGTTGGTGCTGACACTCTGATCCCAAAGCCAGGGATCCCCGACCCTGGGGTCCCCTCCCCACCGTCCAGCCCTGCCTGGCAGGAATGCCACTACTACTGTAACTGCAGCAGGAGGCGGGCTGCCTCCTGACCCCGCGCCCGCGGGCTGTGATCACATCTCTGTACTGTACTCCCCTGTCCCGCCGGGCTGCCTCAGGCTCCCTGGGGGAGGAGGGAGGGATGGTCCCTGCGTCACCCATCCTCGACCCTGCCCGGTAGAGAGCAGACCTCCCTTGGGCAGGCCCCCTTGAGGACCGGCATCTTCTGCCCCTGTCTTGCCCCTTCCTGTCGGCTCTGGGCCAGGCCTGCCGTCTGGCTCTCCCAGGTGGGCAGGTGGGTGCCTGGGGTCCCCTGCCCAGGGGTCCTCAGATCTCCTGGGTCTCAGGGGCCCAGCTGGGCCTTCAGGCTAGTGTAAGCACTCACCCCAGGCTCCCTTCTGCTTACATGCACCCCTGTTTTATTACCTCTGATGACCTTCCCAGGCAGCAGCCCCGTTACCCTGAGACACTACCCAGGACCCGCCCTGCCCTGTCTCCAGGTCTGTGCTCCTGAGCCCCTCCCTCATGCTGCCGACAGGGGCCTTGCTTGACCCCTCGGCCTGCATTGTGCTGCGGGACAGGCCCGGGGTGGCCTGTAGGTCTCAGATGAGACTGGCCGCTGTCCCCGCCCCCTGTGCAGCTGGCTCCTTTCAGCTGCAGAGGCACCGCTTTCCTCTCTCATTCTGCTGTCACCGCGGGCTCAGCATGACCTCTGTCTCCAGGCCACCTTGGCTGGCTTTCTTTCCTACCCCACTGCCCTCTGTCCCTGCCACTGCCCTTCCTTCTGACCTATATTGCGGGTTCCCCCATCCGTCCTTGCGCTGGGGTCCCATCCTGCCCCCAGAGGAGGCTGGCACGGAGACCCTCCCGATGCAGTGAGGGCTGAGAGACTGCGTGTGCTGTGGGTGTGAGAGCCCCCAGTCCCTGCTGCCCTGGGCCTTGGGCACAGGTACAGGCAGCGCGTGTATGTGTGTGTGTGCGCGCACACGCATGTCATTGCACGTGTTGGTGCCACATGGGGAGGAATTGGCTGCCTCGGTGAATTCTGAGACTCATTGGGGGGAGGGTCATGAGGGCAGGAGGAAAGGGCCTTCACTCTGTCATTCAGGGATAAAGTTTAATTTTATTTTTCTACACATTTTTGCCAGGTAAGGCATTGTGCTGATGAGCAGGATGCCCCCAGTCCTCCCTGCCAGGGAGATTTAGTTTTTTTAAGCTTTGGGTGCTTTTTCAGTAATTGTTTTTACCATATGGGGAAGGAGATTGCTCTGACTTCCCCTCTCTCCTCTTTCCCCCACTCCTGTCCTGAGCTACTGTTTGCTGCCCTGCCCCCCACCCCAGGACCTGGGGAACTGGGGGGCCAGGGGCCATACCAGGACCCTGCGTCCAACTGCCAGAGAGGGTTCCAACTCAGAGGGGGCGCCTTTTGGTCCCTGTTTGTATAGTGGGCATGTGTGTCGAGTTTTTTAATTTTGTTTTTTGCCTGACAAAGCCAAACTCCATTCCCAAATGCCCTTCCTCTCTGGCTCTGAGGAGCCCTCACACCGAGTGCCGGCTCCTCTCCCTTGGGGCCCGGCCACCTGACCTCTCCTGCCCCTGCCCAGCGGGCCCAGCACCCCCAGGGGCTGGGGGAGGCTGGGCAGGGAGGGGGCGTACTTATGTTTTCTTCCAAACAAAAAACACAATCTTATTTTTCTTTACAAAAGCAAAAAAGGAAACCAAAAAAGATAGCAACCTTTGAACTATACCTCAGTCTGTCTTGTCTTTATTCTGTCTGCTGGGACTGCTCAGGCCCGCATGGAATGGGCCCTGACCGGTGGGGGCAGAGCCCCGGCTGGGGGAGGAAGTGATTTCACTCACTTCTTTCTTCAATACAGAGCTCGGGGTAGAGTCCTGAGGCTCATGGTGGGGTGGCAGGCACAGAGGGACATGTCACCAGAAGGGCTAAGGAATTTGAACAGGAGACTAGCTGCCTAGCCTGGGCCTGAGCTGGAAAGGTGAACAGGAGTTTTCTGAGCAGAGAAAGGAGGGTGTTCAAGAGAACAGCGTGAGCAAGGGCTCAGGCAGAAAGTGCTCAGCTGTCACTTTGGAAAAGCCCATCTGAACCAGCGGCCCCTGACCTGGCCCCAGGCCCCAGGGCTACAGGGGCGAGGGTCAGCCATGTGACAGAGACCTGGTTTTCTCCTGAGCCCACTCGGAATGGGCTCCCAGCAGCCAGGCTCGGCACCAGCCCCTACAGGTACACAACCAGACGGACCCCCAGCCCAGCCGGGGCGAGGAGTCCTGGCTCCGAGTAGTGCTGGAGAGCTGACCCTGGGCCTAGCAGTGTGGGCAGGTGCCCAGAGGGCACTGAGAAAGCAATCAGAGATACTGTATTTGCCCCATGCTGAGCCAGGACCTCAGGTGGTGGCCCAAGGGCCAGCCTCCTAAGTGTCACAAGCACAAATGCTCGGGCTGCCCGGTGACCCAGGTCTGCATTTCTATGGGCTTCAGTTTAACTCTGTGAAGTATCAGGACCACCATCCAGGGCTGAGATGGGGAGGATTCGGAGGGAGCCCGGATAAATGCCCACCGGGAGGATGGATGGTGGGTGGTTTGGCTCCTGGAGGTGCCGAGGCAGACTGTGGAAACCTGACCCTGAGGGTAGATGGGAAGGGCAGGGCTGGGTGGTCACTCTTCACCCAGAAGCTGGCCATCTGGGACGGCAGAGCCAAGCTGCCCACAGGCGGAGTCACAAACACATCTCTGAGTTCACTGACCTCGGGTCCTTGTGATGTCCCCTGAGCCGTGACCTCGGGGGCAAAGGGAGCCCACTTAGAAGCCATCTCTCCCAGCAACCCTGCAAGGTACGCGCCCAGGAAAACCCGCAGCTCCCACAAAGGTCACACACCCGTCCCCTCATCCAGGGCCCCCACCCCGCCCTGCGCTGTGAAGACGGAACCAAAAGGGGCAGCGGAGGGGCTCATAGTCCCAGCTGGGGTATTTCTGCGAGGGACTGTTTTCCTTCCTGAGCTGAATTTATATTACCTTACTAATGTCATCTTCTGTTATTATAAAAGGGAAATATGTTTATTGTAGAAAATCTAAAAAATACAAGTGAGCAAAAAAGAAAATGCTCCATAATCCGACAATTAAAATGTGTCTACTCTGCCTTTTTTTCTACATGTATCTACATATTTTTTTAATGAAAACAGAATCTTTGTGTATACAACATTTTGTCACTTTATTTCTCATCTGTCACCATCATGAACCTATTTCCATGTCATTGAGTGTATTTTCTCATCCCTCTTAAGGGCTGCCCTCCGTGTGGGCATGTGCCAGGTTTCTTTTACCTTCCCTTTACTGCTGAGCATCTCCAAGGCTTGTCGGTTCTCCCTGCTTTTATAATTGGGATAGCAGTGAACATCGTTGAGGGTACCGACAACTTCTGTATTTAAGGCTTTTCTTAGGATAATTCTTGAGAGCTGAATCATCCTATCAAAGGTTTATCAAGATTCTAAAGCTTTTTACATGCGTTGTCTGGTTGCATTCCAGAAGGGTACAGAAAACGATCTAGATTTTTCAAAAATCCTGAGCTGACTTTTGCTTTGGAAACCTGCTTCCGGTTACCAGACAGCTGGCATGGTGGCGGGGGAAGATGAGCGGAAGATCTGGGTTCTCCTAGTAGTAGTTGTAGAAATAGTTTTCACCCCGGGCTCTGGGGAGGAACTGAGGGAGGGGAGGAGAGGCGGGCAGGGTACCCGGCGCCACCCCCACTCCTAGCAGGGAAGCTCTGTTTTCCTATGCTGAGCTCTACCGGAGGTTTTATGTCAGAAAAAGATCTGCCTATTTAAAATAAAGAAAATGTCAGAAATGTCAAAATGTCAAAATGTCAAAAATGTCAGAAACCACTGCTGGCAAACCACCCTCCTTACCAACTGGCCCTGTGACACCTGGACCCCTCCGTGCAAGGAGAGGAAGGACCCCAATGATCTCCTGGCCCTTCTGAAGGGTGATCAGAGGCAGAAGCTCCCCCTTAGGGGACGTCTGGGGGGTCCAGAGTGCCTCCACCACTACAAAATGGTGGCAACTCCGAGTGGGGCAAGCTGTTCTCAGCCCCTGCAGGGCTGGGGTTCGGGCCAGCGTGGCGTTGTCCGTGCACACTTGCTGGCTTCGAGTCTGTGTCCAGTCCCTATTCTCCAGGGGAGAGCTGGAGCACAGTGAAGGAAGGGCGAGAGCCAGGGTTTCCCCGTGTTCTTCCCTTCATTCAGCCATCACCAGCCAGATTTGCACAGTAATTATGGTGCCCTAGCATGTGCCAGGCTGGGCTAGGCACTGGGGCTACAATGGCGAGCAAAACGGAGATGCCCCTGCTCCACGGAGCCTCCTGAGAGCAGGGGAGGCAGGCTTAGATAAGCACACCGTAGTGACGTAATTACACGCTTGGAAGGGCTGTTAAGTAATGGGACACAGTGCCTCCCTCGAGTGTGAATAGTCAGGAGGTTGGAGATGCAACTTGAAGGCAAGATGAGGGCAATCTCTGTGGGAGGACGTGTTTACGCAGAGGCCTGGGCCAGCTCTCAAGGCATGGAAAGGTTAGTGTGGCAAGAACCCAGGGAGGGAGGGTGTGAGCTCAACGTGAGCCCAGGAGGAGAGCAGGGGCCACCCATGAAGGGTGTGTTGGGGATTTTGGATTTCACCCTAAGAACAAAGGGAAAGCCAATGTCGAGTTTAAGCAAGGGAGTGACAGGAACAAATGTGCCTTTTTAAAACATGGCTCAGTGGAATATGGAGACTGGGTTGGAAAAGCACAAGGATGAAACCAGGGAGCCAGCCAGGGGCTGCTGCTGGTTCAGGAGGGAGAAGATGGCAGCGAGGACAGTCTGGAGGTGGGGTGACACTGTCGGGTTCCAGAGACAATACATTGGAGGTGGGGGCAGAAGGGGTGTCCAGGTTGACGTCTAGGTTTTTGGTGTGCACAGGTGGCTAGATGGAGGGGTCCCTCCCTGATCTGGGGAACTAGAAGTGGGGAAGGGGCGGAGCACATGTTTTTAAATTCAGCTCTGAGCATCTGCATTGGGTGCTTCAGAGACGTCAGAGGGACAGATGCATCTGCCTGCTGTGCCCTCCCGGGAGCCCTCCTCCCCCAACTGCACAGCAGCAGGTCCCACTAAAGGGCCACTCTTGAGAGGCCTGCTCTGAATGGATTCCCCTGTTATTCTCTCCCAGATCCTAGAATTACTTCCATTCAATTACAAGCAGTGGCTGCCCCTTGTGATTACTTTCTCAGCTGCCCCTCCCCCCCGTTTAGAACATAATTTCCCTGAGAGGGAAGACCTTGGCTCCTACTTGAGGCTCATTAACGATTGTTGAATGAATGAATGAAATGGCCATTAGACAGCCAGTGTACAGGCATTTCCAGGTCTCAGCTCCAAGGAAAGGTGACAGAAGGGACACATATTTTGAAACCAGGGCGAAAGTACCAGATACTAGCTGTAGCTGAGGCTTGAGAGCCTTGCCTTTGGAGGGGCCTTCATGGAACCGGAGGGCAGAACAGGAGCAGAGACAAGGAGAGAAGACCTGGGCTGAGCCCAGCGGCTGCACTTGTGGACAGGGCCGGAGGAGAGCTGGGGGCTGAGCTGAGACCAGATCCCCAGGGCAGCTTAGAGGATCTCACATATTCCATTGCCATTGGTGGGGGGACATTCCCTGCCTCCTAGGGTTTACACTGTTAGGGGGAGATGGGATTAAAGGAACAGTCACAAATAATGAATTACTGCCGTCATCAGAGAAAATCACTTAGGACAGAGAGGTTAGGAGGAATCCAAAGCCCCTTCCCACCCTGAAAATCCATGACCCTGGATGGGTGGGGAGGGCTGCTCAGGATGAGATGGGGGGTGGAGGCAGAAGGTGCCAGAAGGCTGATACCAGAGAAAGGTCCTGCAGGTTTGTAGCACTAGGTGCAAAGGCCCGAGTGAGACAAGCTTGACCCTCCTCCCATGAGCTGAACCAGGATGCTAGAGGCTCTGCAGGCTGTGAGGGCCGGTGGGGGTGTCCCTGCGTGGAAGCCAACCTCCGACCTCAGACTGGAAGCCACTGGGGAACGGGTCTGACCTACGCAGGTTCGCTGTCTTGGATCCCTTTGGGGGAAGGTGCTTTCACCCACACTCAGATTGAAGACGACTGAGGGTGGAGCCGGGGGAGTCTGGCAGGGGAGAAAGCGGGCATGGGCATCTGTGAATTTCCTGCCTGATATGGCTGTGGGGGTCAGGCTGGATCTGGGGGCTGGGGAGGGGTGAGGGGGGTCTAGGGGTACTCTTCTGGGCCCCAGGCCTTCCCTCGCGCGGAGACGAGTGCGGGAGGCACGGACACGGAGCCGCGGCAGCGGGATGGCCTCGCGGGGCCCAGGTCGCCGCCTTGGCCATCGCCTCTGCAAAGATGGGGCCTCCGACCTCAGCCTGCGCGCGTAGACAGCTGGCGGTGGCGATGGGCGGGGCTGCTTACTTTGGACCCGGACAGAACCAGAGATGAAACTGCAGCTGACCCTTGGGATATTTGTCCTGACCCCCTAAGACCAAACAAGGACCATTAATAATGTTTGGGGGCCGGCCCCCTGGCTTGGCCGTTAAGTGCTCGCAATCCACTGCTGGCGGCTGGGGTTGGGATCCCAGGCGCGCACCGACGCGCCGTTTCTCCGGCCATGCGGAGGCCGCGTCCCACATACAGCAACTAGAAGGATGTGCAGCTATGACGTACAACTATCTACTGGGGCTTTGGGGAAAAAAAGGAGGAGGATTGGCGATAGATGTTAGCTCAGAGCTGGTCTTCCTCAGCAAAAAGAGGAGGATTAGCATGGATGTTAGCTCAGGGCTGATCTTCTTCACCAAAAAAAATTAAATTAAATTAAAAAATAATGTTTGGAAGCTGTTTGAGGACGGGCAGCTCGGAGCGGAGTCGCCAGTGTTCCCCTCGGTGCAAGCCCTGGGGTTTGGGGGGAAACCTCCGCAAACTGATGCCGAGTTGTCGCACTGCCCTTGTGCCCAGAAAAAGCGTGACGTCACAGAAAGAGTCCCCCTGGGCAGAGACGGTGGCGCCTCTACTGCAGGCTTTTGGGTTTACAGAAAGCAGTGGGTGTGAGTCCCAGGAGGGTTATCCACCCCAAACAGTGTGTTCAGTGGCCCAACTGTGCAGGGCCAAGAGTGCAAGTGAAAATTTATTGGGGTCCTTTCATTGTTCCTTCAATTCTCAAGGTGGAAAGAGTTTTCTGATAGTAATTTTTGTTGGTTGGTTGGTTGGTTGGTTTTTTTTCCTTTTTTGGGGGGGCGGTGAGGAAGATTGGCCCTGAGGTAACATCTGTGCCCATCCTCCTCTAGTTTATATGTGGGCCACTACCACAGCATGGCTTGATGAGTGGTGCGCAGGTCCACGCCTGGGATCAGAATCTGTGAACCCCAGGCCGCTGAAGCAGAGCATGGGACTTACCCACTCCACCACCAGGCAGGCCCCTGATGGTAATTTTTTTTAACCAAAAGTTGTTCGATTTTTGGAGAACCAAGTAAGATCTGAGCCTAAGATCTATGCGCACAGCAGCATTTTCTGTGTTTGGTGTTTTCCTCTACGTAGCTGAATTAAATATTTGCTACTTAGCTTGGATTGTGTGTGGAAATTAAGAAGTTAATAACTATGTAGGGGCTTCGTCACTGCCTGTGGCATCTTAGCCAGAATCAGGCAGCCTGTGTGCAGGGGCACACTGCTGGGGCCACTCGGGGCCTTTTATAGAAATAATTTCTCTAAAGGAATTTCACTCTTCTTTCTCATACTAGTGGACAATTCCAAATTAATCCATCTAAATTGCACACATTAGCACAAATCCGAGCTGCATGGCCCTAGCTTGCAAACCTAATTGCTGGAACATTCCCTGAGAACTGCTAGGCGTTGCCTTCCCAGCCAGGAGATGCGTGATTTCCCCATCTCAACTTGCTGTTGACGTGAGACAGGGAGAATATTGGGGTTAAGGCCAAGCACGTGGTTTTCTGAAGCTGATTGCATGGCAAAGTCTAGCACAGAGCAGCCGTCCCCCGTCAGGGCGTTTTGTGACCTTGAGTCCTCCCCGCAGCTGCTGAGAGGTTCCTGAGCTGGGATTTTTTTCTGGAGATTTGGTTTTCTTTTTTCAGACACACTGACAGCTTGTCATGAACTTGCAGCTTCCAGATTCACTGTGGTTGGGCTCCAGAGACAAGAGTTCTCTATTTCGACCCTATAAATGGTAAAAGGGGGGAAGTTGGATTCAATATTTCATTTTATTTGGTGCCTTCACTCAAACCTGCCAAATTATCAACTGCATTCGCTGATGACTTTACAAAAGGGCTGGTATAAGTGTCCCCAAGTGACCCCTGGCACCATGGATCCATACAGGATGAGACCAAATTAGCAGGGCCCTTTTTCCGCTTCCCTGCTGAGTGCACAGTGAGCAGCCTGAAGTTGCTTTTAAGCACATTTTGTTGAACTTGTATTTTCCCCCACAAAAATCGCTAGAATACATGCAATTAGTACAGATTTCCTAAATATTATCCTATGTAAAAACGTAACCTCTAGAAGCTGGAAAAGGCAAGGAAACGGATTCTCCCCAGAGCCTCCAGAAGGAACGCAGCCCTGTTGACACCTTGATTTTAGTCCAGGGAGAGCCACGTTGCATGTCTAACCTGCAGAAGCGTAGATGATAAATATGTGTTGTTTTAAGCCAGTAAGTTTACGGTAACGTGTTACAGCAGCTACAGGAAAGTAACAGAGAGATCTCCCTGGTGTCTGTATGGAACACCTCGTGAGGGCAGCCCTCCTCTCGCTGTGAGTCGGTTTCCTTTTTTATCAGCACCACGTCTCTAGCTGCGGAGGAACTGTGGGGAGCTGATGCTGGGGCAGCCTCAGGGTGAGCTTTAGGCAGCATCGAGGCCAGATTTACCCACCCTGGGGATCCGATCCAGAGCCCCTGTGATTTTTCTCGTGCCGCACATGCCAGCCCTGGGCGCAGCACCAGCCTTTCTCCTGAGGGTCCTAAAGCTTCCGCAGCACCTGCCAAGACATTCCTCACATCTCGACCCTCCACTGTCTTATCCCCGGCCCGAATGTTCCCACTGAAACATTTCCCCAGACACTTCCCTCTCATTCTCCTGAGGATTTTACATTACCACTGGCTGGGGCTCAGCTTAGATTGCATCTCCTGCCCCGCAATGTGGAAACATTCTTTCTCCAGAAACGGGTAGAGGTGGGGGCCGAGGAGAGTCGCTGCGGGGTTGTTTATGATATTAGTAAGTTGTAAGCAACCTCATGTGCCTCGTCAGGGGACTGATTAAATGAATACAGTACGTCTCCACTCGGTGGAGCACCGGGCAGCTCCTTAAAGGAAAGAGAGCTCTGTGTGCGCTGACCTGGAGATGGGCCGTCACCTCAGCCTGTGTGTCAGGTCTGGCCAGGGGGAGGCTAGGTGGGCAAATGCCAGACTGGACTGCCTGTCTTCTAATCCCCCATCGGCCACTCGCGCTGTGGCCTTGGACAAGTCACTGCTCCGCTCTGCATCTCAGCTCCGTCGTCTGTGTAATGGGGATAATGACAGTTTATCCTACATCCTGTAATGCCTCCTCATAGCCCCGAAAATTAGATAAGCATGTAAAGTGCCTGGTACACAGTGTTACCTGGTATTCTTCATAAGTAAAAAAAGCGAGCTGCAGAATAACATGTACAGTACCTTGCCTTTCTGTATATATTTAAAGGCCTGCACGTGTTTATGAGCGTATATAGGAAGCAAACCAGGAAGCAGGACTGGCTTCTTGGGTGTGAGACCCCGGCAGTGGCACAGAGGCCGTATTCAGATAGGCCCCATGCTGGGCTCGGTTTAACGCTCTGCTGTCACCATCTTCAAATTCTTAATAATTTTTGAACAAGGGGCCCCCCCATTTTCCTTTTGCACCAGGCCCTGCAGTTGTGTAGCCCATCCTCCAGGAATGATATCCAACTGTTAGCAATAATTATCCTGGAGAAATAGGATTGAGACAGAGCGAGAGCAGGCAAGGGTTTCTTGTATCTTTCTGTACAGTATACACGTTTGCAAGCATTTATACTTCTGTACTACATCAAGAACACAAGAGGATACATTCAGGGAAAATCTAGCCGCCCAGTGAAAGGAATGTGGGCTTGGAGTGGGTAGAACTGGATAGAATTCTGCCTCTACCAGTCAGTCAGTGGGCTTTCACCTTGAATAAACTACTCTGCTGAGACTCAGTTTCCTCCCGGAAAAAGCTAGCACCTGTTTTCTACCTCTTCGGGCTGCTGTGCCATTAGATGAGTGGACAGTGTAGAGGTGAGCCTGTGTCACTCCTGTAACAAATGGCTGCTTGTTACATAGTAACTGTGATTGGGGCCGGGAGGGGGCTGAAGAGCACAGAAGTTGACAGCAGGACTTGATTTAATTCCCAGCTCAGCCACTTCCCACATGAAGTTGGATCTTGTATTTAGACCTATTGTGTTTTGTCATCTATAAAATGGGGACAGTATAGATTCACAATCCTTTATTGTCAATTCCAAAGCCCCCAAAGCTCTGAAAACAGAAAGTGTTTAAGTTTGGCACAAATCCACTTGGCAAAATCTCTGACCTGGCTGGTGTGAGGCTATGATCTCGATCCCCCTCAGCTTTGCATGCAAGTCATACATTTTGCTGCAGAACTGCTCATGGGTTTGATTACAGTGGTGCTCTCTGGACCCCACTGTGGCCGTAATGGAGGACTTGGGTCTGTTGGCTTTCTAAAATCTGAACACTCCAAATTCCAAAACCCCTCAGGCCCCAAGGGTTGGGATGAGGAATGGTGGATATGGGTTCCCCCACCCCAGGGTCGTGGCAAGGTTTAGAAGCCATGCAGTGGGTCAGGGGACCGCACAGCGTGAGATCCATGGGATGGACCAATGACAAAGGTTGGTTGATGTTGTCACTTGGTGTCATCTGACGAATTTGGATTCAAATCCACTTTCTTCCCCTTATCATCTGGGTGAGCTTGGGCAACATGCACAAGATCTCTGGGTCTTCTAAAGTAGGGCACCGGTGCCTCCATCCTGGGGTTCTTATTGAGGTTGGCAACAACAGAGTGAAGAGCCAGTGGGGCCAGGGAGGAGCAGGCGCCTGTCAGTGGTGGCCACATTCATTCACTTGTTGATTAGGGACTGAGCGCACAGGAAGGCTGGGCAGGCAGGTGGGGGACTGCAGAGAGGGCACCCCAGGCCCTGTGCCTTCAGAGGGCCCACCACCAGGGAGAGGTTTTAGGGAGGGCCTCTCAATGACTTCACAGGAACAAATGGAGGGAAGAGGTGGAGAGGCGGCTCCTCTACATGCTCCAGGCTGGAGCCTGGTGTCAGCTGCACAGGACACCCCTGGACAAGCCATGGACACGCTGCCCAGAACGGTGAGGCTTCACTGCCATCACTGCTCCTCCTGTGCAATGAGGGACTTGCATTTGGCTAGTGGAGAGAGCGGTGGGGTGGTGGGCCCAAGTATCTTGTTCGTGACTCCACTATGCCTGGGACCCAATGGGGTGCCGACGCTGCAGACAGCACTGGCTTCCCTCCGTTCTCAGCATCAAGCCAAGTCCCCGCAGGCTTGGCACCATCTGGCCCTGCCTCCCTCCCCCCCTCCCTCCCCCCTCCCTGGCTCCCTGGCTTCCCCCCTCCCTCCAGCTCAGTGCCACCCTTGGGCTCAGGCAAGGGGGTCTGGGGACTGCAGGCCCCATGCCTCAGGGCTCCCCCAAACTTTGGGTCCTCTTCCTTAAAGAGCATCTCCCTTGGTGCCTGGGACCAGGGGCCAGAAGTGCCATGTAAGTGGGACACCTTAGGCCACCCAGATGCCTCCAGGAGTTCAGGATCTCAGGCTTGTGCAGTCACCCCAGGAGGGGGCCTGGTAAACAAGTGGCTCCCACTGGCTAGTGTGGGCTGCAAGGATGGTGTTGACAGGCTGATTCTGGATTCCTGAAAATGGTTTATGTGGACAGGAGCCCCGCAGAGAACGCTTGCCTGGGGCCCTGCACACGCTGGGACAGCCCAGCTCCAGGGCAGTGATTCTTCTTTAGCTTCTGGAATATGTGATGCTCTTCCCCCCTCCAGGCCTTGG